AAAAATATCGAAATTTATAATAGAAACAAAATTCATTTTCGAGATATACGTATAAATACTAAAACAATAAGTACACTATCTATATTACGAAAATTACGGCTAACTTCCACGACCGAAGTCCCATTCTATGATCACAAAATTAATATATATATATATATATATATATATGTGTGTGTGTGTGTGTGTGTGTGTGTGTGTGTGTGTGTGCGTGCTCGCACAGACAAAAGTATATGAGTAACTTTTCCCATTTCATACTCTCTTTGAACTTTCGTATTTTGTTTTTAGTCGCCATTTTATTTACAATTAAATCTATTCCAATTTTTGTTCCTCATTCGTTATTTACTGTGTCTTTGATTGTTTCCTGCTGCTCGCCAACGTTCACCGCTTGAGAAAGGTTTGGCCGAAAGGGTCCCCCCTCAAGGTAAAATAATGACGTCCATTTCACACACATACACACACACACACACACACATACATACATACATACCTATATATATATATATATATATATATATATATAGTTCAATTGACGAGTTGTTGAAAATATACATATTCTGGTTCAGTGAAGACTGAGACAGACAAGTAAAACAAAAGGAATAATACAGATGAATATTAACTGACTTGAAAATGGAATTAGAACAATCTACTTCCCTGAGTAGAATGAAGGTTTCGTCAGCCGACACCTGAAAAGGATCGAACGGTAAAACAGTTGAAAGGTTGTGAGCAAAACAACCAAGATGAACATGCTGCTCTGAATATTAAATAATATTAAATATTAAATAATTAAATAATATTAAATATCAAAGCATGCAATAATGCTAATTCATCATCTCAATATTGAAACCAACTGTAATATATTCAACAGTAGGTATTAGACACTGCGTTTCAACTTCAGTGTGCAAACGAAATGCAAAATAAGAGGTTTTCTGCATAAACCATCCGACGATGATATCTTTTGTGACGTACCTTGTGTATCCACTGAAAAATAGTATTCATCAAATCCTCTCTCTCATATAGTTCCAAGAAGGTCGTCGTCCTGGGTATGATGGTTAAACTACATCCGACAGCGAGGCCTCTGAGTGAGAGGTTTTGAGGGGCTTGAAACCCTCTCTTAATTGTTCTTGTTCCCTGGTCCATCTTGACCAGGGGTAGTAGCACCTGTTAGGGTCTCAGCTATGGTCAAATAATTAACCACCAGTCTGGGATCAAAACACTAATAGATTTTTATAGTAAAACTACTAGTAATACATTTTTGAAAAAAAAACTACCAGCAATACAGACGATGGTGGGAGATACGTGGGTCGGTTGAAAAGTTCATAGGCTAACAAAGATAATCTGATACATGTAAATTCTCGTGTTTACCACATGGTGATAGATGACAGTCGATTGGCTATAAATCAAATACCCGATGTTACTAGCGTATCCATATTTTGAGTTGAGAATATTCTTCACAATGAACTTGGCATGACCGTGTTTGCTCAATGGTTCTTTGTTTCCTGACTTCTGAGGAAAAGTCTGATCACATCACGAAAAAACCTGGCATTGTTTGAAACCGATCCAGCTGGTTTCCTTGAACGATTCTTAACCAATCATGAGTGCTGGATTCATTACATTGAACCAGAGACAACAAGGCAATCCATACATTAGAAACACCCGTCCTCACCTGCTCCAAATGTCCTTTCAGCTGCAAGGAAGATGATGGCCTCAGCTTTTAGTATACAAAGGGTAGAGTGTTTATTAGTCATCTTCAAAAGGGCCACTTCATCAATGGAGAGTACTGTCAACTTGCTGAGGTAGTTACGAAAGGCCATCAAGACTAAACGTCCAGGGGAACTGATGATGTCTCAACAAGCAAATCCTTCGTTTCAATGGCTACTGTGCGTGACTGTTGCTTTGAACTGTTTGATCACCGTCCCTATTCTCCTGCTGTGGCTCCATCTGATTATCATCTGTTCCCCAACATAAAAAAAAAACACTTGACTGGGGACAAGTATTGCAATGATGATAAGATCACATCTGCTGTTAATGACTTTTTGGTAAACATAATGAAAGCTCTTCCATCAATGGGTTCCAAGCACACACTGCAACGCCGATGGAAGAAGTATGGGCACAGCACATGGAAATCTCATTTGCTACAGATTTTTGAGATCATCTGCGAATTTGGCCTTATCAAAACGATAAAACTTACCATTAAGACAAGGATTATTTTTTCAATTTGTTCATTATTAAAACCTACGAATCGATCAACAAAATGGTCGACAGGAAATATCAGACAATTAAGAGTGAAAGAAAAGAATTGTCTTCAAGTCCTGCTTCTTGGCTTTTCCGATGGATCAGATGAAATCTGTTATTTGCTTTGCATGGAGATGAACATTCATTTAATAGTTTTCTCTTCATTTATCATTTTAGTAACTACAAAAGTAATCAACTAAATTAAAAAAAATGTCGGACTTATAATTTTTCCGACAATCTAACTTTAAGATGGCGGGTCACCGGCCTTATCTGTTCATTATTATACATCCGGTTAAGCATATTAATTAAAGTTTATATTTCTTCATTTATTATGAAATTGTATCGTCCAATTACTTTACAACTCTTACAATTTCATTCCACCTTCTGTTTCAGTCGGTCAAATGACTCTAGCCACGGTTCTAGTCAAGATACTGGAGTTAGTTCGAGACTTTATGAAGTCTCGGCGCTAATATTAGCCTAGTTGATAAATTGTATATTTCTAACGAATCTGTTATTAAAATATCTTGAGATACTGTGTAAATTTCTATGTTCTATAACACGACATACTTAGAACGATTAATAAAACTTTAATTATTATTATGTAAGTGTTGTGGAGTGATTTCACAGTGGAGGCTTGTATTTGTACTAAGTCGGTCCTAAAATAGGTTCGACGTACAAAACGCTAGGAACTTGATATAATAGGTATAACGCAGAGTAATCTAGTTGTGGTCGTTGAGACTTTAGTATCCGACTAACTGTCGTCCGACATCGACTCACTGAGCAACTCCCTTGTTACTCTTACTACTTCTAATTATTATAGGTGGGAGAGTCTATTAACTATAGAATAGGTCTGTTCTACTATAACAGTAAGAAACCGTATCAACTATCGACTAGGGATATTAAAGTTTCTATTTGTTCATTCATTATGAAATGGTATCGTCCAGTTACTTTGTAACACTTAAAATTTCACTACATCTTCTATTTCAGTTGGTCACATGATTCAACCAATTGTTCTAGTCAAGATACTGGAGTTAGTTCTACACTTTATAAATGGAATCTATATTTCCAACGGTATATCTTGAGATACATAATAAAATTCTATCTTCTATAACACGACTCAGAATAATAACTTAATAAATCCCTAATCTTTATTCTTATTATGTAAGAAAATGTATTAAAGACATGAGGCGCTTACTTCAGAATGGTTAATACCTAATGTAAATATTTAAAAAGTCAAACATGACACTGTTGCTAGTGTAGAACTGTAGCTTTGGGCTGGCTAATGGTCAAATTTGATTTAAGGAGCGAAAAAGATTCTTCTAAGTAAGAAAAAAACAAAAGATTCTTATCAATTTTAGGTTATATCACTTTTGAACTTTGTGCAAAAATTGAGTTTGAGGATAGAAGATTAATCGAGTACGAACGTCAAGTGAACTTTTTTGAGAAGATAGCCACTGTTTCGAGTTCAGCTAACATGTGTTACCTGAAATAATCCGAGTCACGGTACCAAATGTGACAATATATAGCCGGTTTTAATTTTTAATTATTTTCTTCATTTCAAAACTCGTAAACACCTCCGGCGACGAACACGTAACCGGACCTGACCGGAGAAGTTAGGCGACCTTTTGATCAAGTACCCTGACATCTTTTCGTCATTCCTTTCTTCCCATGGACTTTACCACAAACGAGGGGATCAGAAAGCGTTGACAAAACGAAACCATAGAACATGCCAGAAGCGATAGAATAACAAAAGTTAAATACAAAAAAAAAAAAAAAAAAATATGTATATTCGCGATGTAATAGATATTAAACAGAATGCGGTGTAATGGATAATGGCCCAGTATTGGAAATTGGAGAGCCGAGTTCGAATTCCAGTCGATTTCGTTATATTCACTTACGCAGAAATACATTTGGGAAAGGTATGGATCCAATTTCTTCCTCCATATATGGGTTAAATAGCAAGATTGACTTGGTTCTTTAGCCTTGGATTCGCAATAAGTCTATTGCAGAAAGAAATGGCAACCTAATGAGGGAAATATCTTCTGCCTAGTCAGTCATGAATCAAAAGAAACATGATCGCCCAAGTGTGTATCACGTGGGGCACTTAACTATCTGACTGGCCCATTATAAAATCATACTTTGACTTTATAGTGTTTAACTATATATTTTAAGAAAATCTCGTGAAATGTAAGTCGGTAATGTCGATTATTTGAATCTGCAACTAACGAATAGCGCCAAGAAAATATACGACATTAAAATTTGAGATTTGATTTTTAAACAGACATGGTTACTGTTTTATTTTTTTCACTAGAGTTCACAAAATACAAGGCCCGATAGGTACTCAAGGTCGGGGGTTACTGACTGTGATAGGAATATAAGAGAAAGTAGAATAAAGTGAAGATTATAAGGATAAGAAGGATAGATAACGATTCACCCACACTTGAAGAGGTTAAGATTATAGTGATCAGGAAAGCATCCACGCAGGAGACGGTTCCATAGTGTAGCAATAATTTTTGTGAAAAGTTTAAAGTCTTTTGGGGTTCAATGCAAATTCTGAGAGAAACACATGATTTTCATAAAACGTGTTAGTGTTTGGGTTTGTCCTTGTTTTTTTTTTTTTTGTTGTTGTTTTTATCTACGGCATATAAGCCTCTACGGGTTATTTAATGCCGAAATCAAAATATAACGAGGCCAACTTGAATTGCAACTTGGATGCCCAATTAAAAGTTCCGAGCCATTATCCATTAAACCACCGTCACACGCCATCGTACAGCATCTGGTATTCGAAAGCGGTCACCCCTCTAGATACTGACGAGGTTCGACGTTGCTTAACTTCGGTGATCGTATGGGAACTGGTGTTTCAACGTGATGTGACCGTAAGGAATATCCCCCTGAACATTCAAACTTACAGTACTTGGTATTCAAAAGCGGTCACCCCTCTAGATACTGACGAGGTTCGACGTTGCTTAACTTCAGTGATCGTACGGGAACTGGTGTTTCAACGTGATACGACCATAAAGCATACCAACTGCACATCCAAACGTACAGTGCTTGGTATTCCCAAGCAGTCACCCATCTAGATACTGACGAGGCTTGACGTTGCTTAACTTCGGTGATCCTACTGGGATCGGTGTTTCAACGTGATATGAGCGTAAAGCATACCACCTGCACATCCAAATTTACAGTACTTTGTATTCCCAAGCAGTCGCCCATCTAGATACTGACGAGGCTCGACGTTGCTTAACTTCTGTGATCGCACAAGAACTTTTGTTTCAACGTGATGTGTCCGTAAGCGCGCAGGCGTTTGGGATTCAAGTAAATTTTTAGAAAACATTGTTTTCATAAGATATTTCAAATGTTTGGGATAGAAAGTAATTTCTTAAGAGAAACCCATGCTTTCCATAAAACATTGTCTCGGTTAAGCACTATTAATGATGATTTAAACGTTGTTTATGGCCTTTTAAGCCATTCTAAAATCACCCATATTATTTATTAATTTTAATGTATTTAAGACCTGAACTCCATAATTGTCTGAAAATCTCGTCTTTTACTCCCATAAGAGAAATATTAAATAATTTGTTTTGACACTGGTCGTCAGTAATTTCCCATTTCGATTATGTTGTTATGGTTAAATGGTTTCCTGGTGTCTGCAGTTAGAACAGAAAATTCCTTTTACCAATTAAGCCGACCTTATAGCACCTTTCCACGTGTTAACATAGACAGAGGTGTTTGCGTAAGCGACTCTAGACGTGTATACGTGCGTCAGTCTTACAAATAAGGAGGCTTTTAACTCACTTATTAGCAGGGATTTTCTATCGCATCTCTTTATTGTCCATCACGTATTCGCTTTGCAAGCAATATCAATTTTTGAAGCGGTCGATAACGGACATCTATTCATGATCATGGCATGTGACCACATTTGTCAGCAGCAAGAAATCTCACCGCGCGATTAAATTAACAAAGGAACATTCATGAATTCGTGCTTCACAATCATTCTTATTGTGTTCTTCAAGATCATCAACATCTGTCTATATCTCTGAGATGAGGTATTATGTTTACTTGCATTATTTACATTATTCAGACTGTTATCCTCATCTTCATTGCCTATATTCACAACGTTTCGGCCTCTATATCTCTGAGATGAGGTATTCGTTTACTTGCATTATTTATTTTATTCAGACTGTTATCCCACATCTTCATTGCCATATTCACAACGTTTCAATGACTATATTCTGAGATGAGGTATTATGTTTTACTTGCATTATTTATGAATTCAGACTGTTATCCTCATCTTCATTGCTATATTCACAACGTTTCGGCCTCTATATCTCTGAGATGAGGTATTATGTTTACTTGCATTATTTACATTATTCAGACTGTTATCCTCATCTTCATTGCCATATTCACAACGTTTCGGCCTCTATATCTCTGAGATGAGGTATTATGTTTACTTGCATTATTTACATTATTCAGACTGTTATCCTCATCTTCATTGCTATATTCACAACGTTTCGGCCTCTATATTTCTGAGATGAGGTACTATGATTACTTGCATTATTTACATTATTCGGACTGTTATCCTCATCTTTATTGACATATTCACAACCTTTCGACCTCTATATCTCTGAGATAATGTATTATGACTATTTGCATTATTCACATCATTGTGACTATTCTCCTCATCTTCATTGCCATATTCACAACGTTTCTGCCTCTATATCCCTGAGATTAGGTATCATGCATACTTTTATTATTTACATTATTCGAACTGTTATCCTCATCTTCATTACCATATTCACAATTTTCATTTAAATTTTTGAAGATCGAAGTTATCAGGAAAGCAAGAAGCCGGGTGAGAGAGTTCCATAAGTGCGAAGTGCAAAAGAAGAAACCTTTAACTTAGAACTTACGGTTACATCTAATTATTTCAACGGTAAATTCAGGAAGATTTACTGCCAATTAAGTACTGCGCTTAAATTCGTGGGAGTCTAGTTACTAAAGAGCAAAGCGCATCAGTACAATTACAATGAAAAAATATAGAAAAGGTACAGGGAATCTAGGTTATGTCAATGGGAAAGTAATCGAGACCGAGATGCCAGGTCACGATCAATAACATTGCAGATCCTTCTTTGTAATTTATCAAGAATGTCTAAATACATAACAGAAGCGGCAGACAAAATGTGACAGTAATATTCATAGCATGGGCGAATGGTAGAGTTATAAAATAGATTCTGTCGAGAAAAATTATCTAGCACAACGCATTTGGCTTATTGCTCGTTTATCCACCGGAAATCAGTTCGCGATCACCGAGTTTACTCTTGATTCTCTCCCTTGGTAGCTCAGTAAGTCTTGATGGTCAAGGCAACTGACAAAATGTTTATTTTCATTTCGTTGCTCCACTCTGGTATTGAATGCTATACAAACTCCTCCCAGATGAAAAAGAGACTTGAGGTAACAGAAATTTGATTCTACAGAAGGATGCTGAGAGTACCATGGACTGAACAAGTGAGTAACGGAGAAGTTTTAAGGAAAACAAAAACAAAAGGATATTCATACTTAGAATGAGGAATGAAGGCTAGGAGAATTTAACACTCACAAGACATGTTGAATGCAAGACGAAAAGAGGAATGCGCCGATTAAATTAACTAACGATGTGTAAATAGACGATAACTGGGTTGTGCGGTGGATGTGGGGAGGGTGTGACGGTTATTGATGTCGAAAATAGAAACGGCTAGCCGCGTTCTCGTTTCTGTCCTAGTTTATTATGACCATTTCACAGGAATGCCTTCCCCCAAATCTGTGGGTTAAATAACTATGCAAACTGGGCTATCGTGTCCTAGATAGCTGCCAGTATAGGAGAAAACGTTGCTAAATTCAATATCACGGTAAGGGAAATCACCTTTTCCAAAATATCATTTTAATTCTCGGATGAAGATGAATATTTTTTTACTAATTGTTTCCCCAATACAAGCGATTGGTGAAGTATCCCCTCGGGAGTCTGTTCCATAAAAGAGCTGTTCTTGATAATAAACTCTCCGAATGAAAATTCCTTCTTACAAATGGAATACAAAGGGAATGAAGACGATTCGACGCTGTGTATGTGGCATGGCGAGCCTTAACTGTAAAGAGAGCACGTGGAGCTAATGAATATAGCTCGCCAGAACATTTGGCATGGAAATAGAGGGTGTGTAGCCAGAGGCTAGCGAGTTTCCGTGAGTGGAAAAGGGGTTGTAGGGTGGAAAATAATTCATTACCCACAAGGCCGCGTAAACGCTTTTTTTTTTTTTAAACTTAAAGTTGTAAAATGAGAATTGAACAGCTAAAGAAAATAAAGATCGCCTACCTCTTGAAGAGTCAGGATAGATTTTAAAATTTGGTGCCGATAACAGGATGGAATCACTGACCAACTTGGAGAGACTTATTGCATTAGTCAGCAAAAAAAAATTCTTTGAAATGTTGTCGAGACACTAAATATCTTTTTTAGCTAGTTTGAGGGCACTGAATCTGAAAATAACTTTACTTTTTCTTGGTTAGCTAACATTTTTGCTGTGAAAAAAAAATGTTTCATTTTAGGGAAAAAGCATTTTTTCATTGTTTTTTTGTACATATGATATTGACCGATGGCAATATTTCTGAAAATAAAATCGTAGAACCCTCTCAATTCGTATTCAAACCAACAAATATTGGTCTGCTTATTGAGAAATACTATTTTTGCAATAACAATCCAACCCTAAGTCTTTAAAAATAACACGATTGAATATACCAAGACCAAAAAGTATTTTCATCGAATCATTTAATAAACTAACCGCATAAATAAAACCTTTGTGAATATAAGAACTATGGTAAACATTTTCTCTTTCTTGATTGTCGGTCATGTTCAATGTTATTTAAGTCCCATTTCATACTCCAGCAGTATCATGTACAATGGAATAGTTTCATTCAATTGGGATGTCTTTAGTTGGAGATTCTTTCCAACTGTGAAAACAAAATGCCCTCAATGTGTTTGGTTTCCTTCCGTAGTGAAGGGATAAAATTGACGGAATAATTTTATGAATATCAAACATAAGATTTTAGGGTTTCATTTTTTTATGTCACCTTAATTATAAGTTTTATTAAAGTGTATTACTAATAAAGTTTATTAGTTAATTTGAATTTTGGCAATAAATTGGAAAAATTCGATACTTCTATTTTAACATTTTTGACTCAAAAATACTTTTTTCTTATAAAAGAAGAGAAGAAGAGTCTTAGTTGTGCTCAATGAGCCACATACACCACATTAAAGAAAAAAAAGTAAGAATAAAACCTATTTACCATTTTCTTTCATTAGTATTTCTCGATAAAAATTTATTTTAACTTTACGTTTTGTTATTCGTTTATCAATTTCTCTCGCTATGGCAGAGACGTTTATTCGCATAATAATAATAATAATGAAAACATTATCGTTTGGCATCTATAATCGAAGGATGTGGTTAATGAGCAGTATCAGTATTGGTATTCGGTTAGAAAACGTAAAGTTAAGATAAATTTTATCGAGAAATAATAATGAAAGAAAAGTATAAATATGTTTCTACTCTTACTTCTTTTCTTTAATCTAGAGTATCTGGGTCATCCAGCAAAATTGACTCTTTTTCCCATTCATCTCTCTCTGCGTCAAGTATCCACCGATCTTTCAGTATCTGTCGATATTTCTGAGATGAGTTATTATGTACATTATTTACATTATTCGGACTATTGTCCTCATCTTTGTCGCCATATTTATCACAACGTTTCGGCCGTTGTAGACTCCGGCCTTCTTCAGTATTTGTCTATATTTCTGAAATGAGGTATTATGTACACTATTTACATTATTTGGACTATTGTCTTCATCTTTGTGACAATATTTATTACAACGTTTCCGCCGTTGTACGCTCCTGCCTTCTTGGAATGTCGAACTGAACCCTTTATTTCGCTCACTGGGATAGACTGTTCTACTTCTACATGCCATGTCTAATGGATGCCAGTTATGAGTTATCTCCTGTTAATTCCCCTCGCCAAGTTATCCACCGCCTTAACCGGGTATTGAACTCACACTCTTTGGGTCCTGTCACTGGATCTAACTTATTGTCTTTATCCATTGTGTCATGCGTTCTCAAGTGAGCGAAATAAAGGGTTCAATTCGACATTCCAACCACCTGAAGAAGGCCGGAGCGTAAACGAAACGTTGTAATAAATATGGCGACAAAGATAAGGATAATAGTCCAAATAATGGAAATAGTATCCGCAGATCTATATCTATTTTTAGTCATGCTCCGTATGTGTTTCACTTCGATCATTCTTGGGCATTCCCTCCTGATTTTTACCATGTTCCTCTTGATAGAAGAGTGAATCTTGATAAACGGAAGTATATGGGTCATCCATGCCGACCACACTCTTCATTCTTCTCTACCCAAGGAAATTAGGGATTTACCAGTCTCACGACTGCGACGTGATGTGACACGTGGTAGGTATAACCGGACCAGGGTCAAAAACTGCCCAGCCCCCGCTACCGTCGGCTGCTCTGGCATCGATATTACTACCGATCCCACTCTCACTAATGCAATGAGGGGGGATCTGCCGCGGACAGGTGTTCCCCTGGACCATATACTTCTCAGCTGCGTCTTTGTCCGCAGATAGACACAAAACTTTGCACTCTGCCCGAAGACAAGAGACACGCAACTGAGTTGCACTCTACACGAATACAAGAGACAAGCATCTGAGTTGTACTCTGCCCATTAGACAAGAGACACGCAACTGAGTTGCACTCTGCCCGAAGACAAGAGACACGCAACTAAGTTGCACTACCCACGAAAACTAGAGACAGAAATGAGTTGCACTCTACCCGACAGAAAAACAACTGAAAAATGATATTACATTACCTGTGCCAGGTACATTTACCCGGTCTCCTCACCAAGACTGGATGTGATACAAGGTCGTTTTAACGTGGAGAGCGCCATACGCATACTTATGCATATGGGTCAAGGACAAACATTTTTGTTTTACCCAGCCCCTGCGGCTACTGTCAGGCTGTCATCGATGTTACATCGATCCAACTTCTCTAACTGTAATGAGGAAGGTGCTGACACAGGATTAGAATCCTCAGGACTGAGCAACTTCTCCCGTCTAAAACGAGGGTAATCATAGCTCCACTTACGGTACAGGAGGGTGTTAACCACACCTAAGTAAACACTCATTTCCTAATGGTTAACTTCTGTGATACGTAACTATGTCAAAGCCTAGTGTCCACAGATCCACATCTATTTTCTATTTGATGTTCCCTGTGTCTTATATAAGGGATTTATCGGCTTCTTGCTTTTATCATGCTTTGCTTAATAGAAGGGTGAATCTTGAGATAAGGTCATTGGTTTTTCTTAAGCACTACTCTTAGGCTCATAGTTATATTGCAAAAAAATGGTTGTTATTTAACGTCTATTGGTTGACTCTTTTCAGATGACCTTGTTTCAGATGCAGTCAGTTATTTTAGCACTTAACATAGATCTGTAACAGGTGGTTGCAAACATGTTCGGTATTTTCACAGATTGTTGAGTTACTGTCCAAGATTACGCACCATAAATCAATATAGAATAGAATTAAATTTAACATTCATTTTCTTCCTTAATTGGGAGTATGTGGGTCATATTACTGATTTTGTTTGGAACATACCTAGGGGTCGATGAGGAATCAAGTTTTTCATGATCCGAAAATATTTTTGGAGCCCCCTCCTCTAACAGGAAGAACAGGAAGGCAATGTTTTTATAATAACCAACCTGATATTGAGCACTAAACAATGTCGTCGGATCACTGATGACGTTCAAACAAATCACTTGAATCAATTTTCTATAGATTGCAGTTGACTAAATTGAGTGATCGACTGACGAGGATCAATCACTGTATTGAACAAAGTGCATCCGTTTTCTTGGTTTGACATGAAAGACAAGCCGTCGACCATTTTGGAAGCAGTGAGGAGAGACAGCCTGTTTCAAAATTCTTCCAAGACCGTCCTCCTTCGCACACATCAGAAAACCATTAAAGTGGACAAGCAAGGGTTGAGGCATGCAAGGGGTGAGACAAGATAAGGGTGGGACAAGATAGGGGTGGGACAAGATAGTGGGTGGGACAGGAGTTGAATGGAATTGGGTGTTCCGGTGGAATGGATCGTGGGAGGGAGAAAAGATTTCCGTCAAGCGAAGAATGATAAATGGACGATGAAGATAATGGAACCAATTTCGAGGCGGAACAGGAATTATCTTGTTGACCGATGAACAAGTACTCCCCCACCCCAACACCAAAAAATGAGGTAGATAGATACATAGATAGATATGAATAGACTGAGATAGATAGATAGATAGATAGATAGATAGATAGATAGATAGATATGAGTAAGGAAGATAGATAGATAGATAGATAGATAGAGCATGAACAGATGTGATAGATAGATAGATAGATAGATAGATAGATAGATAGATAGATAGGAAAATATTTTTGCCATAGGAAACTGGCCTCAGGAATTTTTGCGGTAGGAAATTTCGCCCTATAAGATTTTTGCCGTAAGACAATTTCAGCGCATTTCTTTTAATATGCGAAGTAAATTGTTTTCAAGTATATCTGGCTCACACTATTGTTACATTTTAATAAGCAAAGTTATAAGATGTACCCAAATTTGTAGAAGCTAAGTGCGTATTTGAAAAAGGTTCTATATGACTTTCCCAACCTTCTTCAAATATGCTGACCCCAAAACAGCTGTCCTGCTATCCGAATAGATCCTTTCTGGAATGGAATGATTTATTCCAAAAAAAAATTCAAGCAAAAACCAAACAGTCAGCCGTGTTTCATCCCTGCTGAATGCGCTGAAGCCATAGCTCACCGGGACCACTTCTTCAAAATCTATTCCAAGGAGCATTACTTCTTTCAAAACCACCAGCAACCACTGTAGGAGATTCCTGGAAAACGTAAAGTGCAGCTACTCCCGATCTGTCCAGGGCAAGGTTCAAAATAAACAAACTGAATCTGGCGAATTCTGGAAGGTCACCAACCAATGTATGAACAGAGGTAAAGCAGATGTGCCCATTATTATAAATGGCCTCCATGTGTTATCCTCCTCGACAGACTAGGCGAAGCTCTTCACCTCGATCTTTGCTTCAAATTCAACGTTAGATGACAAAGGTCATCCTCTCACCAACTTCCCATATATCACTGAGTAGAATCACGGGAATATATTCATTTCAAAGAAATTTCTAAACTTGTCAAAAGCCTCGACCCCCAAAATAGACACTGGCCCAGACAAAATTCTGATTGTCCTTAAGAATATCAACCCAGAATTTGTCTATATTTCTGAGAAGAGCTATTATGTACATTATTTACATTATTCGGACTATTGTCCTCATTTTTGTCGCCATATTTATCACAACGTTTCGACCGGTGGTTGGAATGTCGAAATGAATCCTTTATTTCGCTCAGACTGTTCTAGTTCCACGTGCCACGTTTGATGGATGTCAGCTATCAGTTATCTCGTGATAATTTCCCTCTGAAAGTTCTCCACTGCCTTAACCGGGTGTTGAACTCACACTCTTTGGCTCCTGTCACTGGATCTAACCAACGCCTTTATCTACTTGAGGACATCTGGGTATGAATTTCTAGGTATTATAAACCTAATGTCTTCAGCAACCATTTTTACCAGTGCTCATATTGCAATTTTTGCTGTTATCATTACATGTTTTTACCAAAGCTCATATTGCAACTATGTTGTTATCATTGCTTTTCTCTAGCAGTCCGTATTACTGGTTCACATATTGTATTAATTTCTATGCTTGGTTGGCTCAGGAGATTTTTGTGGCATAGCATATGTGCTGATTCCTTAAGTTTACGAATTTTCCAATGGTGTTCCTTGTCAATGATCTCAACCTGATCCCACAGAGGGTGGTGATCTCACTTTTCTCTCCATATGTGGTCGGCCTGATTTTTCTACTTCGGAATGGGATCACACATATATCGACAGGATGAGGGCTTAGCAATGGGCTCGCCATTATCACCAGCAATGGCGAATATATACATAGAATACTTTGAGGAAATGGTGGAGAACTTTCAGAGGGGAATTAACAGGAGATAACTGATAACTGACATCCATCAAACATGGCACATGGAACTAGAACAGTCTGAGCGAATTTCAGTTCGAAATTCGTACGGAAATTACGGCCGAAACGTTGTGATAAATATGGCGACAAAGATGAGGACAATAGTCCGAATAATGTAAATAATGCAACCCAGAATTATCCCTGATTCTAGCAAAGTTATTTAACTGCTGCTTGAAGGGAAAATATTTGCACGTGGAAGGTGCCAAGCGTGTGTCTGGTCTTCATGAACGCGGGAGAACGATCCTCCCTCTCCCAGTATAGACCCATTAGTCTCCTTAGTATCACCAGTGAGCTTTTGGATGCCTTATTCAACAAGAAGATCGTCGTGCACCTGGATAGGAACAACCTCTTGTGCGACGAGCAGTATGGGTTTCGATCAGCTCGAGCCACTGCTGACGTCCTAACTACCATTAAACACAGAACAAGTGAGCCGCTCGACGACACACATACTGCAAAAACCGTAGCATTAGATATCACGAAGGTCATCGACAAGGCATGGCACGAAAGTGTTATCTACCTGTCGGGAAGGATTATAAAATCCTTTCTGACAGGTAAATCTCTGAAGGGTCCTGATGGTAGCTGAAAAGGTCGACTAGGGGTCACTTCTCAGACCAACACTCTTTCTCATTTACATATGTGATCTACCTAACAAAACACTCCGGTCGTTTCTAAGGGCTCATGCTGATGATACGACGATATATGGGCGGACCTCTAAAGGTCTTGACGATCAGAGATTGGCAGCTAACCTCTCTTACGATCTAGCACTAGCTTCCCATTTGGGAAAAAACTAACTATATTAAATGCCTCGAAATCCAAGCAGGTTCATTCCATCACCGCCGATCGGACTCCGAACTACCGCCAGTCACGATGAACGGATGTCCTGTAGGGAAGAAATAATGCCTCGAAATCCAAATGGGTTCATTGCATTACCGCCGATCGGACACCGAACTACCGCCAGTCACGATGAACGGATGTCCTGTAGGGAAGATATAATGCCTCGAAATCCAAATGGGTTCATTGCATTACCGCCGATCGGACACCGAACTACCGCCAGTCACGATGAACGGATGTCCTGTAGTGAAGATATTATGCCTCGAAATCCAAATGGGTTCATTGCATTACCGCCGATCGGACACCGAACTACCGCCAGTCACGATGAACGGATGTCCTGTCGAGAAGAAATAATGCCTCGAAATCCAAACAGGTTCATTCCATCACCGCCGATCGGACTCCAAACTACCGCCAGTCATGATGAACGGATGTTCTGTGGAGAAAAATTAATGCCTCGAAATCAAAGCAGGTTCATTCCCTCACCGCCGATATGGCAATCTACCAGTGCACCTCTGAAAATATTGAAGATCAGTGATTAGCAGCTGACCTCTCTTCCGATCTAGCACTAAGTTCACAGAGGGGAAACGATTGGCTGGTTACATTCAATGCCTCTAAAACTGAACTAACTACTTTCTATCACCACCAATCAAGCCTCGAAATACCGTCAATCTCGATGAACGGGTGTCCACTCGAGAAGGCACCGTGCCTTGAGAGGATATTGTACCTCAAACTCATACTCAAGTGGAATTCCTATATACGGTCCATCGCTAAAGATGCGGGTAAAATGATTGGTTCCTTGTACCGCTCTAGTAAAGTACCTGTGTCTCCTCCTGCTATCCTCTACTTTTATAAGTGTCAGGCGGAAAATGGAGTACTGTTGCCATATTTGTGCAGCAGCTACCCAAACCTCCCTCTTCAGTATTGAGAGAGTTAAAAAAAAAAAACGTCTCCAAGTCCTTGATGGATAAAAATTATTTCCCACCCTCCAAGCCCTCTCTCACAACCGGAATATGGCTAGTCTCTCATTGTTCTCTCGCTACTACCATGGAATGTGCTCGGACGAACTGCATCCCTTGGTTCCGCCATGTCTAACGTTCACGGTTAGGGCCATTCCACGATCCACTTACATTATCAAACTACCCACATTCCCCCCGTATTCCATTAGTGAAAATAAGTTCCAACTCTACAGCTTTTTATCCACGAACCACTGTTTCGTGGAACCCGAATCCTAAGAGGATGTTTTTCCGACCAGATAAGATTTTGACCATGTTCAAAAATCTAGAGTTAACTGTTACTTTTACTCTTATCCATATAAACTTTCTTTTAACGTAATCCTCTAACCTCGAGAAAATACCCTAAGCCTTGTACAAACAAAATGAACCCTAATGTGAAAAAAATACTTATCGCTTGTGGAACTTCCTTCTGGCTCCATACTTTCTATTTTATGTTCTAAGTCTTCCACACCCGGTAACCTCTTATACCTCAGTGGCATTACAGTCTTACATAGGGTGAAACGGGTTCAAAAATAATATCTTCCCCACTTTGTGGTATAAAGGTATATACATTTATTTGTGTGTGTGTGTGTGTGTGTGTGTGTGTGTGTGTGTGTGTGTGTGTGTGTGTGAGAGAGAGAGAGAGAGAGATTTACTTTTTAAGAAAGAGAGAGAGACTTACTGTTGTGGTATTTAACAGAGAAGAATTTTTGAGTTATGAACCCGGTAAACCATATATATATATATATATATATATATATATGTGTGTGTGTGTGCGTGTGTGTGTGTGCATGTATGTATGTATGTATTATCAACGAATTACGTTCGTTAGTGGATAGCGGCTCGGATTTAGGAATCGGAGAGCCGAGTTCGAATTCCAGTCGAATCCATTACATTCACTTACGTGCTAATACCCCTGGGATAGCTATGAATCCTTTTCTTCCCCACCCCAACCAGATGTGTGTAAATAGCAGGAGAGACAGGGTTCTAAAGCCTTGAATGGCAACTGGTCTGCTGCAGAAAGAAATGGCAATCTACTGCGGAAAAAAATCTGTCTCGTCAGTCATGTATCGAAAGATACATAACAACTTAAGCGTGTTTCATGCATGGGACATTACTGCCTGATAAATTCATGAATATTTTTAAAAAAATAATATTTACTTGTACTGATATTAATACTCATCGAGTGCTCAAATATCGTGGCCTTGTTTCATGCTAAGCTAACTTGAGCGAATATCGACACGCTTCTGCAAAGAGCGCAAATTAACAATTTAGATCATTATCCATTTACGCGCTGATGCAAAATATCCGCCCCCTCTAACCATAAAGCGATTTTACCACTCCTATAAATAGGAAAGATGGTCTCTAAATTTCATGCGGCCATTTTGAGATAACGTGTGGATTCCATAATAAAACTGGTTATAGAAAGTCAATGTCGGACACCGAAAAGGCGGCTATGTTTGTTCAGAATGTGGAATTGAATCGTAAATAGAATTGCATCCGAAATTAAATTAAAGGTGAATTGAATTGATGAAAATATCTGGTGAGAAATTGCATGCTAGATGTGAAAACGGACTGGGGTCAGGGTGCAGTTGTTGAAACAGGCAAGGCAACATATTGATGGTTCATATCCTTTTCTCTTTATTTAATCTAACCTAAAGATATATTCTGCGCTGTTTACCTCATTATTTTTTTTATATATATATATATATATATATATATATATATATATATATAATGAAATAATGAATAATAATTATATATAATAATATATATATTTATATATATATATATATATATATATATATATATATAAATAAATGAATAATAATTATTATATATATAATAATAATAATATATATATATATATATATATATATATATATATATATATATATATATATATATTAAGTACAGGATTCTCTGTATACGGAATAAATTCCAATAACCAAAAAATACTATTCTTAAAAGAGTGCTCAATACAGTGTAGAGCAAATATAATCATTTATTCGAAAATTATAAATTATATTCGAAATGTTATAAATTATATTCGAAATTATAAATTATATTCGAAATGTTATAAAATCACGACAAATATAGCGATTTTGTTTCAACACTTCTGGTGTCTTATCAAGTGATGGTGTTGAATGTAGAATAAAGGCTTTTAAAAAGGTTCAAATCAATCAAACATCCCTCGCAAGGGGAAACGCTGTTACATAAGCTGCAATGACCAATCAAAATACAAGTTTATGAGAATTCAAAAAACTTGGCAATGAACTTTGTTTATAATAATTATTTAATGCTTTAATGTTAGGGTTAGACTAAAATAGAATTCATTATAACTAATTACTATTAAATTAAAATATAAAATAAAATTCAAAATTCAAAATTACCTATTTTAAATTTTAAATTATATTAAGTTTAAAATTATAAAATTATTTAAAGAAACTGAGGTAAGAATACATATGTTTTTTTATTTATTTTGTTTTTATTGAAATTAAGTTGGAATAAACGTTAAGATCTAATGCCGCTCTGAACTCCGTTACAACTTAGGTGCATTTGAATGGAAGATATGTGATAAGGATGGTGAAATCTTGCAAAAGACAATACACACACAATCAGATTATAATACACAAACACGCTGACATATTTAGATATATAAACACGCAAAAAAGCGACGAGACAGGAAATATCCACGGACCTTAACAACAAAAAAAAAAAAAACAACAAGAAAAAAAAAACGACAACATATATACAAAATGAAAGTCACATATAACCTATTACACACACACACATTGATAAAGACACGCACATATACACACATACATTGATAAAGACAGGTACATATACACACACACATTGATAAAGACACGCACATTTACACACATACACATGATTGAAAGACAGGTATACAAATACATTGATACAAACATAAAACATTGATAAAGACACGCACATATACACACATACATTGATAAAAGACAGGTACATATACACACATACATTGATAAAGACACGCACATACACACACATACATTGATAAAGACACGCACATACACACACATACATTGATACAGACATTCAAATTTGAAAGTATTATTAACCGAATTCTAACATACTATTAAAATATAACTAATACAGACAAAGATATATAGATAAAAATGGCTGAATTAGATAAGGTTTAATATGGGTAGATTAGAAAAACAAATATTAGTCAATGAACAACATGAGGAAAAAGGACACTAAAACAGAAAAATGGATAGATAAATCGATATATACGCATAAAAATAAAACCATCTAATATATAAAATAGAAAACTCCTAAATACTTAAATATATATAAATATCTCATATATATATATACGTATTATTACACATACACGAGTCCAAATATATAACGATATGTGAAAGAAAATAAAAAATACATATAGACATATGTGTACACACATTCTTCGCTACAGATATAAACATACAAAAGTATACCTACGCACAAACATATACATACACATATACCCATATACATATATATACCTATACGTACACATGTACATACATACACACATTCATACACGCATACGCATATATACATATATAGAAATAAATATAAATATATCAACCTATACAGCAACATAAAAAATAAATAAACTATATATATATATACACACATACAGAAGCAAATATAAATATATATATATTCACACATACATATATAAATATATATATATATATATATATATATATATATATATATATATATATATATATATACATATAATATATATATATATATACATACATATAAAAATACACATATATATAAACATACACACACACACACACACACATATATATATATATATATATATATATATATATATATATATATATATATATATATATATAGACATATATATATAATAAACCCTACACATATTCTAAATAATATTATCTTAGTGACTATAAAGTACTGTAAAGTCCATACAAGATTAAAATGTAGCGAGACACAAGTGTTGATTATTAATTACAGAAGCAATTATAAAACCATTATCAAACAAAAGTAGATTTTAGTTAGCATTGATGATATATTCCAAGATACTAAGATATACAGATATATATATATATATGAAGATATACACACATACACCCACTTAAGTAAGAAAAACGGTATTGTATTCCTATTGTCAACTGAAAATTACGTCAACTGAAAATTACGTCAACTGAAAATTACAATTATGAATATAATAGCGTTTTCCTAAATTCTTCTAGTTACTAAGATCATTTTCTTTGTTGTTAATACTTACTTTGGTTTTAATAAATTCATTTCGTCTTTGACATGAAAAAGTCCACATTGGTCGAAACGCGTCAATAAATCACAATTATTTCAATTTTCCTATTGTTTTTTTAAAATATACATATTTTTTTTCTATTCGTTAACTCTGTGAAAATTTTCCATATGTATAATATATATATATATATATATATATATATATATATATATATATATATATATATATATATATTGTGTCAAAATATGTGTATATATATATATATATATATATATATATACACACACACAATGTCAAGGACGTTATAAATAACAAGATAACAAATGTACTATTTATGCACAGAAATAAATTCGACCACAATTTTGATGTAAGAAATTCCACACTCATCAAAAGAGAAAGTAATTTACTCAGAAGGAAAATCCGCTATTGAATCTTATCAAAATCTCAATCTACAACCGATTTTTTCCCAGTCTCACCTTTCCTGAAAGAATTACTATTTCCCCAAGACAACACGCACAACAACAAATATGTTTAAAAATCAAAAGAAAACGTTTAAATCCATCAGTTTTAAATCCATCCAGCCTTTGAAGATGAACAAGCAAATACGTCCTTCTCGTACCATAACAATCTAATCACAAAGCAAACATTCATTTTAAAAATATTTATTGAAAATTACTCGCTCACTTTACTTTTTCACCAGATTTTGAATTAAGACACTTTTTGCCCTCCACATACTTTGGCTGACACCTGATAAAGATTCATGAACGTTCTCATATTTACAAGCCTTGATGAACCGATGACACCCTCGCCTCTGTGTGTAGCATAATAAATCCTAGATTGCTTTGATAAAATCACTCAGACGACGAAGAATAGTTTTTCTTCTTGTCTCTTTTTATTCATTTACTTATACTATGTTATATTGTCCATATTATTTAACAAAATATGATTCAGATAATTCTTTCTGCCGATATTGTCGTGGCCTGTTTAGGGGGCCAGAATGAAAGACACGGAAAACGAAGGTAGAATTGAACAAATGTATTGAAATAACAGATATATACAAAAAAAGAGAAGTAGACATTAAATTTACCACAACAGATATACACCTTATTCAATATATATATATATATATATATATATATATATATATATATATATATCGCACACAAACACATAAACACACACACACACACACACACACACACATATATATATATATATATATATATATATATATATATATATATATATCGAAACGGTATTTGTTTTAAATCTCGGTAGTGGATGCGCACTGCTGATGAGTCCCAAAATTGGACGAAAATGGCCATTTCAGAGTTTTAAGCATTCTGTTGAGGATTCTTCTAGACAATGAATTACTATAATGATTTTTCTAAATCACTCGGAATTCTATTTATTGAATTATTTAATTCAAATCTATTGGATATTTTAATTTAAATTTCTTGCGTAATTATATTAAGAACTTATACTAATTTACGTCAAATTCTAAATCTTTCGCTAAATTCTGAATATTGTTTAAAATGCCCTCAACCGAACACTATTTTTAATACAAATTATAAATCGTTTGTTAAATTGAAAATATCTGCATCAAAATCTTCGCCGATGAAGAAGCTAGTGTGTTGTTTCTAATTTCTATTGACTTAAGAATTCTTTCAATCAACCTCTTCGTTAAATGTCATATTAATGTAGCGAGTTAAACCTGGAATCAGTATATTAAAGTAGATCACCAGAAACCTTAAAGTTTACCGAAAAAATCCTAGGGTTTTAACATTATTTATCCCCACCCTTACATGATCATACATTTACATCTTCTTTTTATTTTTTTCCCTCACCCTCAGTACAATATCTGCATTTCTTCAATTTAACCTGGAGTAATTTTTATCCGTTTATATTCGTTTGCTGGTCTAAAAGATTGAAAGCTATTTTTTTAGCCTTCATGAAATAAAGATTATTACCTATCGGATTTTAAGTGTCTGATATTCATTAATTTATAATTTTGCTCTGTCACTGACATAGAGCTTTCCTTGGATTTTTATCCTCTTGAAAATTCTATAGGGATTACTATATTTTTTTATTATGTTACACACACACACACACACACACACACACACACACACACATATACATATATATATATATATATATATATATATATATATATATATATATATATATATATATATATATAATATTAGTGGAAAATATACATACATATGCAAAATATATATAAAAATTTTCATACATGTATATTTTCAGAAAAAAAATTAAAAATAAAAATTATGCAAGAGGAAGGATCCAGGTAGAACTCAATGTCTA